TCCAGACTGACCTCCACAATGGTTGCACCAGTCTACACTCCCATCAACAGTGCAGGAGAGTTCCTTTTTCCCATAGCCTGTCCAGCATTTGTTGTTGGTGGTTTTCTTGATCCTGGCCATTATTTCAGGAGTGAGCTGTAATTTCTGTGGTTTTAATTTACATTTATCTAATGAATAATAAAGATGAACATTTTCTCATGTATTTATTTGCCACTTGGATTTCTTCATCTGAGAATTGTGTATTCATCTCAGATGCCCATTTTTGGATTGGATCTTCGAATGTTGGGGGTCTGATTTTTTTTTTTTAATTCTTTGTATGTTTTAGACAGAAATCCTTTGTCTGAGGGAAAGTTCACTAAGATTTTTTCCCAGTTTGTGGGTTTTCTTTTCACTATGCTGGAGATTTCTTTTGACATGCAGAAACTTTTTAAAAAGAGGTGATCCCAGTTATTGTTTTTGGGAAGTATTTCCCATGTGGTTTGAGTCCTGTTCATGAATTCTCTACCTACCCCTGTCTTCAAGGTTTTTATTCAATTTGTCTTCCAATAGATTACTGTTTCTGTTTTAATTATTCATTTCTTTGTAAGCCAAAATTAGTTTTTAATGAATAGACTATTGTTTAAAGTGATATTTGCTGTGATTATTAATATCCATTAATACTTTTTCCATCTTAAGTTTGCAGTGTTGCTATAAGTTGCAGTTGTATCTCACTTCACAAAAATGTCTTTCCATAACGCTTGTTGCAAAGTGAATTAGATGAGAAATCAATCAAATTACATGGCTAGGATAAGTAATAATATTATGTAGATATTTTACTCAGTCCTTATTCAAATGTTTAATGACCAGAAATGCAGAAAGATGTAAGTTTATGAAGCAAGGTACCATTGTGTCTAGAACATCCCACAAAGCATCATGTGTAAAAGGCATGCTCTTCATTTGTGCATGTTTGCTTTACATTACTGTAACTAAATATTGAAAATAAACAACTAAAAGTAAGAATTATTTATTCTGACTTGTGTTTTCATAATCAGGAGGTCACAGAGAGAGAGAGAAATACTGCGAGACAGAGAGAGACACACAGAGACAGAGACAGAGACAGAGAGTTAAAGAGCAGGAAAAAGGATAAGCAGTCAGGGAAAACAATCCCTTTCTGAAGCTGGGTTCCTGTCCTAATATCCCATTCTCCAGTGAATATGATGATGAAGATAAAACCTTTGTGATCTACTTACTTTCCTATGTGTCATCAGTAAACAATGTTAAACTATAGATGAAGATCTCAATATATAAGTCTCTTGGGGGATAATTCATATTTAAAATATATTCTAAATTTTGACACCATTGGAAGTGATGGGTACCTTTAGAACATACATCTTGTGGAGAGGAATTTAGGAACCGGGAGCACAGGAGGCTCTAGGTGACATTTTAATTAGAGTCACTACAGAATCCTTTTTAGAGGATACAATTCCTAAACTCTTTTTGGAATAATGATATAATATGGTTCTGTTGCACATCGCTAGATTTTTATTTAAGAAATGGATTCAAACTTAGAGATGAACTATAAACTCTAACAATTTGCCAAGATAGCAATGTTTGTAATAGATTAGAAAAAATATTTTTCAAAATAAGTTATTCTATAAAAAATGTGAAAAATACAATCCATTTTTCTTTGATATGGGTGCATATTGTGTTCTCCAAGGTATGTGCGAACTTGTAAGTTTCATTTTAATATTTTCTAGACATTGCTGTTTTAATGAAAAGAGACATAAAGTTAAATACTTTGTCAAAATGAAGAGAAGGATTTGCTGACATAGTAAGAGAGAAGGAAAATTAATGAAGGGTCCAGGATCTTGAAATTGTTGATTGAGTGAATGATGACACTATTATACAAAACAGGAAGCATGAAAATGGATCAGAACTCTGGGCAGGAAAATGATGAGTTTAGTGTTTGTTGAATTAGACTGAATTGCTGATGAAACATTTAAACTGGGTTGCTCCACGTAAGGAGAAGATTGCATCTGCTCAGCAAGTGAAACAGATTCTTTATGAGCATAATATCTATTCTCTAAAATTTTTCTCAACCATCAGGGAAAGTTATGCATATGAAATAAAGTCATAATGCAGTATTTAGGGTTCCCATTTGTAATGGATGATGATTTTCTTGTTTTCTTTTGCTTTGTTTTTCATTTACCACATATGGAAAATATTCTTGGATGGGGAAACAACACTTTTATGCATCCTGTACCTTTTCCTAGTTTAGTCTTTCAAACCAAATACCAGACTGACTGCACAGCACTCTGCCATGTTGTATACATACCCAGACATAAATGAAGCTTTATATCGCATGCTAATGTGCTTAGCAGTTAGAAATATAGAGATTCATAAGACAAAAATTAAGTATTTTGCACTCTTAATTCTTACTTTTCTCAAGAGCTATTATGAGACTTCTTAAAAATAAAAATCCACATGAATTGTTGACTAAAAAAGCAAACATTTAGAATTCAACTTAATTTGTCTCTTAAGTAATAAAATAACATTAACATATATGAAGTCCAATTTTTTATGGCAGGGTTATGTGAAGATAAACCTCATTATTCTATTTATTTTAATAACTTTATTATTTAATAAGTTTATTCATTTTTCTATGCATTTTAATAGCTTTAAAAACTTGATTGGTTAACACGAAAGTGAGTGTGCATACTTATTATTTGAAATCTTTATTATTATTTTAATCATTGTTATAATTATTTTGATTTTTACCTCAAGCATAATAAATAGATGTGAATCTGTCAATACTTTGGATGAGTGATCCAGTGTTGTACTGACAACTTAGATCATACCTTGTAATTATGCCGCACACATAAATGTTGCATTATCTCAGATTTCATGGAATGAGAATAACTTATGATGAAACTTTTTGTAAAACTATTCATTTTCACAATCAAGTGATTAGTTTTTTCCCTAGGATAGATGATCTATTAAAAAGGATTCCAGAGCTCCTTCATCTGGTGTTTATACCATATCTGTCACTTTTATAATCTTTGACCAATAAGCAGCAGAAAGATAGACATTAGGCAGTATTTGGAGACTTCATTGTTTATCTTACTGTTTGACACTACAATATTCAGGTTATACAGTTGATGCTTAAGTAGGTTAAGCAATAGAGTTTCAGAGTGCTTCACAAATGAATTCTCTAAGACCTTTACAACTGTTAAAGAAGGCTACAGAGGCTATTAGTGAAATTTGTATTTTACAGGTTTTTTTTTTTTTTTTTTTGATACTGGCGATCAAATCAAACTCACGTGCTCACACTTGCTAAGCAGACGCTTATGCTACTGAACTAAATTTCTGGTGAAATTTGTATTTTAATGTATACATTTACTTAAATGTTTACTACCATTTTTCTAAAGTGTTGATCTAAGTTAGTTTTACCAGGAAATATAAAAATGATACTTTCTTCATATATTTATGGTCCACTTTCAAACTTCAATGGCCAAAACTTCCTGCTGCAAAAACACATATTTTATTTATTTTGTGTTCATTCATGTATGTAATCTAGTTCCTGTTCACTATTTTATACAGCTCTGGAAGATGTATTATTATTTGCCTTTAGTGTAAATAATTCCTCAAAATGTGTCTTATGTTAAAAGAAAGTTGTAAATATCATTCTATAAAAAACATGTAATACATTGTGAACAGTTTTCAGAAATTTCTTAAATTTGACAAAAAGTCATACAATTATGCATAATAAAATCTAGCCCTAAATTGTAATGTTTTTATCATTTTTTGTAGCACATTTCACCATTGGTGACATTGTTTATCACTCATTTCACCATTTCAAATACCTTATATTTGCATTATTAAACTAAAATTAAAGCTTTGACTTTGTGCTGTTTTTATTTAAATGCTTGTTCCTATTACATTGCCCACTTAGAATAGCACCATATTTAACAACTGGTGCCCTTGAGACTGTGTTATATTAACTTGAGACAAAATAAATCCTGTTTGGAAATGTACTGAAAAAAAATTCTAAAGAAATATTACAGAAAGCACAAAAGGTTCTAAACTATTTCTGCAAAGTAACTTTCATTAAAGCATATTTTTATCTTAAATAGGCTCACTTTGGCAGAATCATTAGATATATTTAACAAAAGAGGGTAACATTTATTTAGAGGCATTTGGTCTGCTGTACATCCTTGGGGAATAATTATTTATTACTTTGCCTCAGAAAATATTGCCACAACTTTCACTTCATCCACTGTAGCTAACATGCACTTTTGAAAATAAAATAAATGTCAAATTAGTTAAACTAAATTCTAGGGTACAACTCATAATAATAGAGTGCATATTTTAATTCTTAAATATTGAAAAGAGGCAGTCACTATTTTTCTTGGCGCATGAGGACCTGGCACCTGCTGTATGTAGTTTCTGAATATTGAAGATGAGGTCTCATAGTAAAATAAGTACTTTATGAAGTATGCATACTAAATTCCATTTGCCGTGGGGTATACTGAAGTGATAGCATAGGTATAGACTGTAAATGCTCAAAATTATATAAAACAATTTATTTTTATTCACTGTTCCATTCACAACTGTTTCCATTCCAAACTCTTTACACTTACGTTAAACTGCAAAAATTAGTAAGGTATCAAAAATCAAACATGAAAGAAATGTGCATGAAATAGAATTCACTCTGGAACTTTAAGGAAGTTTTAGAATAACAGTTATAAATAAATATATTCATTTTATCAGTATAAAAGAATTGAGAAGAATGTATGCAGATATATAATTATAATTAAAACTATTGCACACATTGCGTCAAGGTAGAAAGGCATATACAAATAAAAGTAAATCAAATAATGTAAAAGAATTTTATTAAACTCGCTTAGATATATAAAAAACAAATCTAATAAGTTATAGGAAAATAAAGTCAAGGAAGAAAAATTTAATTGTAAGGGGGGAGAAGAAATTAAAGGAAATATAAGAATAAAAAGAAATCAAGAATACTTACCCGGTAGGGGAGATACCATGATCACAAAGGTGGTTTTCTCAGGGTGAAGCTCATCCATTGCACTGTGGATGTGCTAACCCCCGTGATTTCCCCACATGTGGAATATGACTGCATAAATTGTGGTAGTGGGGGACTGTGTTTGTGCCTTCCTCTGTAAAAAAAAAAAAAAAAAAAAAAAAAGAAAAGAAAAGAAAATGAAAAAGAAACAGAAAAGAAAAAAGAAAAAAGAAAGGATCAGTAAGACGAAGAGAATTTCTTTTCATCATCCTTTATTCAAAACTGTCAGTACTATGTTATTGTTCAATACTAACTTTAGAAAGTAATACTCTAAATTGTGTTCATCACTTTCTGTGGGCACGTATCATGACAGAAGGGTGTGGTAGAAGAATGATATCATGTTTACAATAAACTGTTGTAGGTAACTAGGCTGAAGAGAATGTTAAACAGGAGCAAAAGCACACAGATTCTGAGAGAAGTGAATGGTTAAACCAGAAGCTTCTGATTGGTGAGATGCGTGGGGTCTGGCCACTGTCCCTCCCCTACCCGGATGAAAACTGCCCAGCATTGAGACAGTTCCTTGCCCATACTGCTTTTCTGCTTTTTTTTCTCTTACACTATGCTCTAAATCAAATGCTCAGGCTTCTTGGCTTCAGTGTTCCTCCAAGGGTCTGGGTGGGGTGGGCTCTACTGAGAGCCCTTCTGGCCCCTTGGTGACTGAACTAAGTCTGGCTTCTCACTCTCCACAATGCCGTGTTCACACTCTGCAATGTCACATTAGGTAAACTTACGTTTTATTTAAGAAGCTATTTAAACTTTAATATGAATGATACATATGAATAGAAGTCTTGCCAAATATCACCTTTAAAATTAAAATAGCAGTCAAATTCAGTTGCACATAATGGGAATTATACGTATGATATAAGTAATTCTTAGGGATGCAAATACCATTCAATATTCATAATCAGTTGAATATGAAGTTTGTCTATTGGCCTAAAGTAAACTGTGCTTTGATAAATTCACTATAAGTTTATAAACAAAGCATTTTTAAAAAATGATATCTTCAGCAGCTTGTAAAATAAAAAATTGTAGACTTTTTAGCTTCTCAGAGAAATAGCAAAGATGCACTCATTATAATTATTTGGTTTATTTTATCAAACGCTGAACATTTAAATCATACTGTTAAGGGCAAAGAAAGAAGAGGCCTGTAAATAAGAGAGATTGACTATATTATCTTGTAAACATGAAGGTGTAATATTCATTGATAAAGTTTCAGATAATCAAGTGGCAGAGACATGTAATTATTTGTGTACATCATAGACTTCAGTAAGTTGACTAATACTGTAATCATCAAAAGCTTTCTTAACCTAGATCTGATTAGGCAATGGCTGTGTTAGGTAAACATAATTTATTATGAGATTAAAGAAGCATCAAACCCCTAGGAAAAAATTAATAGTCATGAAGAATATAAAATCTTTTTTCTTTTCTAAATTCAAACACGTTTTCAAGCTTGATTTTAAAACTTTGCAAATATACATTTACAGTTATTTTCATAACGGTAAATTTCATAATAATTTCAACTGAACTTGTAAAAACTACAATTTAACTTTAACATTTGATAATTTAGGAGAATACATTCCAGCTATACTAATCTCTTAAAATACATATTATAAGCAAAAACAAGAAAGTGAATTGCAAATTGAAATAAAATCAAGGTATGCAATAATAAAAGATTCATAATGAAAAATTTCTAAACATAAATATATGTGTTCTCACACATATAAGTTTTAATGTTTCATGTAAGTCTTATGACTGTTTCTAAATAAATTTCATTTGAACCTACTGCATATGTTGTTTTTTTGGGTTTTTAACTATCCAACTTTGTTGTTGTTTTGTGTTGTTTTGTTTGGGTGGTAGGTATCAAAGCCAAGACCTTGCACTTGCCAGGTAGGTGCTATGCCACTAATCTACATCTCTGGGACTGTAAGCATGTTTTTAACATTATTTAACACTGTAAGGATAACACATAATAATATATCAGCTCTTTTTTTCATATGATTGGACCATATATGCTTTTAAAATATTTTTCCTGTTGAATGACAGTTTTCCTATTGTAATAATAATTGTTTATGTAATTAAAATATATGAAGTTAATTACAAGGTCCTTGGGGAGATAAAAGTGCAGGTTAATATTTCTCATCAATAAATATGATTCTTTGTACCGGCCTTTAATTCTTATGGAAACAAGTCTGAGTATATAGTAATAATTGTTTTTAAAAACAGTTTCTGTTGGACATTTATTAGCAGGAAAGAAACGTGTCACTGATACTAGATTATGGAAAAATTTCATATGGAATTTCTTGATAAGATTACCATGAAATGTCATTATGGTATCCCTGAAAATGTTTGCATGAAAAGTGTTTTACTGTTTTTTTAAAAAAATAATATTGCTCAAAACAGAGTTATCACAAAACTCAGCTAAAGCAATTAAAAGCTTTGCCAATCTTTCTGATCTGAATGCATAGATAATTATGATGAGTCAGTGAGAGCTATTATAGGGTTAAATTTCCATTATTTCAATTATATCAGATATCTATTATATCAGAAATAGGTAAATTAGAAATACATTTAATTATTTAATTGATCTTCCCATAACTTTAACACAGAAGAATTTTCTAGTGGTAACCTGTCTTTGCATTTCTGAGATATTTCATATATAATGTAAACACTAAACCTATAGAATGTATTTGTTAATCGGTTAAAACAGTACAATTAAGTGAAATGGTATACTGGGTTTTAAAAAAATATTTAAAAAACAGAAGTGTAGAAATAATAGATAATTTCGAAAAAAAATAATAAATCACTAGTTGAAAAATTACATATTGTTCTCTTAAAAAAAATTCAAGTTGCAAAGTAAACCATACAAAGTGGACATTTAAACAATGAGAATGCAAACAGTTCTATTCAACAGTGCAACAAAAACTTAGTAATATGGTATCAATCCCACATATTTAAGCATACATGCAGTGGTATCCTTTAGAGCAACTGGATTATTTTTATTTCAGACTTCTCAATGTGTCTCCAAGTTGCTATTATTCTAGTAGATTTTGAAGTACTATTACTAACATGTAGACTATCAAGAATGTTTCGACCATTTTTTAGCTGTTTTTCTAATCATGCATGAACAATGAAGTTGATTTCACTTTTAGTCATTTTTAAATTGATGTTTTATTTTTTTTTTCAGTGACTACTCACTAGTCTAAAAGGTATTATTGCTAAAAGGTATTATTGCTAACACATTTTTCGCCATCTATTGAATTCACAAAGGGTGTATTTAAGTCATTTCCATCAAATACTCTTTGCATTTATATATATATTCACTTAACTATTTATGCTTTATTTTTGCTAATTTTTACATTATTTTATTTCATCCTGTCTTGTTAAAAATATATCTTCATTATTTTTTCTGAAAGTAAATTTATTAACAGTTTATGAACTTGAAAATACCTTATAAGTTTTGATTATTTTGAAAATGTTCTTCCTAAAATTGGGATGTATACAATACAGTGTCATTCAGTTTAAGTACTCTGTATAAACTTGGATAAACTTTTATGTATGTCAGTAATTTTTATTATCATTATGGTATTGATTTATCTAATAATTTATTCCTGAGATTTTTGCAGTTAACATGTAATATGCTGTTTTTAAAGTCTTTAAAATTTCACTAAAATAGATTTCCTTGGCATAAGAGACTAAAATACTAAAAAGTTTTGAATTTTGCTCATGAGTTTCATACCAAACTTTATATTGAATACCAAAATGATTTTATTACATATATAATTCTATTTGATGGGTAGTAGTTCTTTTTATCCTTCCAGCTTTGATAATACATATATAACTATAATTACACAAATTGTATCATTAAATTTCTTACTACTTTATAAATATTATCCTCATGTTTTCTTTATAAGTCCAGCTAAGACATAATACTTCTATAGTATAATGTTTGGGCAAAAAAATTGCTTTCCATCAAAAGAAGAGCCCTTTGTATAGTTGTTTACCAACATTTTCTGTATTCTGGAATTGTTTTTAAATTTTGCTAAGTATTCTGCTTTGTATGAAGATGACTAATGGTTTATTTTAATCTGTTAACATATGGAAGCACATTCATTTATTCTCTAGTATTAATTATTCACACAGTTCTTTGGGATGTTGCATTTTTTTTTATTTTAAAGGGAGAAAAGTAAACACTGCTGATGTCCTTATAATCCCAGAATGGAAGAAGAGTAACACAAGGCAATCACAAGTTCAAGTCCCACCTGGACCACATAGTAAGCCCCAGTATTAAAAATAAAAACAGAGTTGTAGATCAAGTTCAATATAAAAGCTTTCGGTTTAGTATACTGTATTACACATGTAAAAAAAGAAAAAGAAAAGAAAGAACTTGCAAAAATTGATTTTGTAATGTTGTCTACAACTTTTGTATTTTGAAAACTTACAAAGTGTTTGTGTGTATGTGTGCATGTATGTATCATTGCGTTTTTTAAGATTTCATGCAATTGCTATCTTCTTAGAATAAACTTTCCAAGTTTCTATTTTACATATTGCATAATAAAATGCAAAACAGCAGATGTGCATCTATTCATGTGTTTAGCTAACATGCTGGTTTTATTTCAGATCATATTCCTTTATAAAATTTATCAAATTACTATAATATCATAATGAATAGAGGATTTTAGTACTTGATACAATATATTTGTATTTCTGTTCCCTTGTAATCTGTGAAGACAGGCCATTCTCTTTTGCATGGGAAATACAGACTCTTCAAAATATGATATTTTTATCATAATATCAAAATATGATATTATTTCAAATATGATATTATTTCAAAAGTGATAGTACCATTACCAGGGAATTAAATTGTGTTTTAAAATAAACAAAACAGCTGTGAATAGAGAGGACAGGCTTAGCCTTTTCCCAATCCTGTGTTCAATCTCGGCACTGAAAAAAAATGAAACAAATAGAATCAAATAAATAGATGAAGCATATGTTTTTGTTACAAAATCATATTAGATATCCAGAGCTGTCTTACCATTTGGCAACCAACACCACTTGTCAAACATTAACTGGTAAAAGAAGCATCTATCTCTATTTTTG